GGCCTCAGGAAGGGGCAGGCGTGGGTGCTCTCTGGGGCAGCCCCTCCGGGTAGCCCGGACAGCCACGCTGCGCCGTTTCGTCTGCTGAGCTCTGAAAATGAGTGATTTCTTCCTGGTTTCGCCCCGCTTTTCCCAGGCAGACCTTTGAGGTTTTGATGGTGCTGCCCTCCAGCCCTTAGGGACGGTGGTCAGAAGTGGAGGTGTGAGGAAGAGGAAGGGCCAGGACTTCAGCGAGCCTTTTGTAGGGCACAGGAGAGGCCAGCCGAGGAACCTCCGTGCCATCCTTGGGCTAATTCTTGGCTTCGAAACTGAAGCTGGTAAATCTGAATAAATACGGCCAAGTACTTCACAGGGTAGGAACTTCTGCTCGAAAAATTTGGAATTACAAAACGCTAAGAAGTAATGCAGAAAGTGGCAAGTTTTCCTATTCAAATGATTTATTTTAATACAAAATACTAGGAATCCGCACTGTTGTGAATTTCTTTAGTGTTTCATGCTCAAAAAAAAAAAGAGCTTTATTAAGAGTTAAACCAGTTTTTCACTACAAGACTTTTAAAATTACTTTTTTTAACTCAATAGTTCAGGTACTTCTGCATATCCATCATCAGGGTTATCCAAGTAATGGGATTGCAGGCAGGACCACTAAAGAAGCAGCTTTGACTGCTGGTTTATAAGCACTGGTGATGGTGGGCAAGAAGCAAAGAACTCAGATTAGTTTCTCAGGCTGACAAATAGAAAAACAACTATTTCTGAACAAAACCTTCTGACACCATAATAACAGTAAGATTATTTTTTTCCAGGCTGGAATCACACACGCAAATGCTTGCAGCCACAACAGAGCTACAATAAAATCAGAACGCACAAGTGCAAGCCAAGAAGACGCCCAAACTATGTTTCATCAGAAATTGGCACATGGAAGACAGTAGTTGCAAAGACTAGTCTAGAATAAATCCTATTTACTCAGAGAACTAACTCTTGTACAGTGGTTTCATTAGTAGATATTGCTAAATCAAAGCCAGCTTTGTTCTGTCTACATTATGATTGCTTTCTTACTGCATTTTTGCCTCCTGATTTCCAAAGAAGAGCCTAATGACGAACAGAAGCAGTCCCCTTTCCTATGAAATTTGGAAAGCCTTAGGCTTAAAGAAAAAGAAATTACACATATTCAAACATTTTGTGTTTTTGAAGAGAACATTGTATTCTCAGCTAGATTTAAAATGGGCAGAGTGTGTATTTCCATGGAGAAGTGCTACCTTAATAACCCAGTCTGCCGCGTCAGCACTGGGACTCTCACAGGACAAGTAGTTCAACTCGGTCTCATGGACAGGGTGTGTATTAGGAGTTCCTCAAGAGGGGCAGAGCAAGCTAGGCTTTTGATTTCCTGGGTACAGGACTGCATTTCACTCATGAATATTACTCAAATGGTTGAGTGAAGAGCTCAGGTGGTCTCAGGGAAGTAAGAGGAACACAACCCCTTCCACCTGTTGTGCAAAGCAAATTTGAGATCCGGTAAACTGCTTTCATAGAATCATAAAATCATAGAAAGTTTTGGGTTGGAAGGGACCCCTAGAGGTCATCTAGTCCAACCCCCCCGCAGCGAGCAGGGACACTGCTAACTAGATCAGGTTGCTCAGAGCCCTGTCCAACCTGGTCTTGAATGTTTCCAGGGATGGGGCCTCCACTACCTCTCTGGGCAACCCGTTCCAGTGTTTCACCACCCTCATTGTAAAGAATTTCTTCCTTATATCCAACCTAAACCTACCCCGTTTTAGTTTAAAACCATTACCCCTCGTGCTGTCACTGCTGTCTCTACTAAAAAGATTGTCCCCATCTTTCCTATAGGCTCCCTTTAAGTACTGAAAGGCTGCAATCAGGTCTCCCCGCAGCCTTCTCTTCTCCAGGCTGAACAAGCCCAACTCTCTCAGCCTGTCCTCATAGGAGAGGTGCTCCAGCCCTCGGATCATTTTTGTAGCCCTCCTTTGGACCCGCGCCAACAGTTCCATGTCCTTCTTGTGCTGAGGGCTCCAGAGCTGAACGCAGGACTCCAGGTGAGGTGTCACCAGAGCAGAGTAGAGGGGCAGAATCACCTCTCTCGACCTGCTGGCCATGCTTCTCTTGATGCAGCCCAGGACACGGTTGGCCCTCTGGGCTGCCAGCGCACATTGCCGGCTCATGTCCAGCATGAATCTTTTTCAGTTCCTAGCGTTGCGGGCTTGGTTTGCTGAGGCATCAAACTAACGAGAGGTAGTTCTTTATGTGTGTGGAAATATAATAATACCAAAAATTCCCAAATAATTTTATGGACTGCTTAGCCACAGAAGATGTTCAGAGCTGCGTTGTTCAGCCTGCTTTTGTCCTTTAACAACAGGAACCATCTCTGTTATCAAACAAGCAATCAGTATTATATTCTACTTGCTTGGTATATTTTTTTAACCTTTGTTTACTCTGTCAGAAAGCTGATGCTGGCTACAGTTGAAGGATTATTGTGATTATCTTGTGGATAGCTTAATTTCATATAGCAGTCTGACAAGCAACTAGTATTCTTAAATCATGGCTACTCCTAACCAGTAAGGACTGGATTTGGGGCAGCAACCTATACGTGTGGTCCTACTGCCGATTTCCTAAATGAATTAGTTCCCTGTGGGATCAGGATGCCTTGTGGAATGAGAATTCAGCTTTCCGATTCTTCTTTGTTTTGTGAATATTAAGTAGTTTCATGATTCTAAAAAGAACTAACTCCACAGATCCTTCTGATTTGTTCATACGTAAGCCAGAATACCAGTGACCAAGGAGCCTGTGAATGCAGACACTGAAGTTAGAGACTTAAAACAGAAGTGATGCAATAAATAAACTCATCAGATTACACTGTCTCCTCTTTAAAATCATATTCTTAAACTCAATCTTGTATTGTCTCTTTCATACAAAAACAGTAGTGTTGCATATGGTTAGCGCTGTCCATCCTTCACAAGACATCTAAAACTTTTTTCTTCAGCTTGTCAACCCATAAATGTTTAACCTGAAATGTTTCATACTTGGGGGCTACTTCAGGCTGAATGCTTTTAAAAATTTTTTTTAAAGGGTTTACTTGCTCTAAAACCTTTGTCAATAAATTACACTGTTCTCCTTGCATATAATTTATATCCTGCACCCATTTAGTTGAGATGCTCTGATTTTTTTTGTTTGGCAATAGATTGGTGTTTGGCAAAAGGCTGCCTTGTGCCTAGGAAACACCGTTTCCTGCTCATCTGAAGCACCCATTAAACATTCCTGACACTGCGAGCCTTTGGGAAATCTCAGTTGATATGCTGCATGGAAATCGCGAGTAGTAAACTCGTAAAGACCCCACACATCCTGAACATGCTCTGGCTCAGGGGACAGAGCAGAACCTTCCTGTAATTGCCCTTACCAGAGGCCGCTGGCCACTGTTGTGCTCAGTTAAATTAGAGAAGGGAGGCTTTTGCCTGCGGTCTTAGTGCTCAGTCTGGTAAGCTGAACAGTGTCAGGACCTTGAAGCCAGCTGGCAGGGTCTAGGCGTAGCCATACTGTAAAATTCTTATAGACTTTAAAAACAGAAAAAGGAGGTCACATCTAAATTTGCTACTGGGAGTTGTCCCTTGGCCAAAATAACAGTATAGACAGCCGAGTTCCAGTTCCCAGGCCCCAGCTGCTGCTTGGCTTAATGGTACAGGTGTAGCTTTAACGGCCGACAGTAAGCGGGAGAAGGCCGCTGGCCTGAATAGAAGAGGGGCAAAAGTGAGAGCCAGGATGGAGCAGTAATAGAACAATTCTGGGATCAGGAGAGGAGGAATGCAAGTAAGAGGGATGCAAAGGGATTCCAGGGCTGGGAGCAAGAAAGGAACAAAGGACAGTTTAAGAAGGGAGAAAGGAGGGAGACTGAAATCGTAAAAAAAGCGAGGAAAATCACAAGCAGTTAAGCAGGGCAGCGTTTTCCAAATTAAAGACGTGTGAGAGGCAACGTGCAGGATGTGACACTGCATGCAGTTGTGCCACCCACTACATTCAATTACGCTAACTGCAATTAAATAAATGGAGAGACAGAAATGGTTTTGACAAAGCATTGACACCGAGAGAATTCCTTACCTTTTAGTGCTGCATTGTTCAGCTGTCTTGTAAAGAGTGTTAAGAGCCACTTACCATTCGCATCCAGGTTGGTATGAAGCCTTTGTATAGAGACATAAACCCTTCACCCTGCACGGTTTGAATCAGGCACTCCGTGGAAGACTTATACAGCAGACCTCTAGCAATGTGCAAGGAGAACAAACAGTGCTAGGGTTACAAAGGCACAATTTAAAAAAAATCCCAGCCCCCTGCAAAATAATCTGTATCAGATACATTTGTACAAGGAAGAGCTCTTTTGTAAGCTCACTGGAGTCTCATCAGAACTGCAATCCACTGGAGTAACTGGGTGTGCTTAGGTGGCCGTCACGATGACGCCCCCAGACATCGGTGAAACGATCATCAAAAAGACGAAGAAAATTAGAAACTTAGCCCTTCACTCCCAGTGAAATCAGTGAGACTCAGGGTTTCAACTTTCCACTGAAAAGTCCGTACCTGCCCTGCTTATCTCTCGGCTGGTTCATTATCCGGGTTTTGACCACATCAGCAGGAGTTCCCAGGACAGCAGCTACCAGGCCAGAGCAGCAACTGTCAACAGGAACAAATAAAGAGGAAACGGAGATTTATCACAACGATTTAAGCATCATGATTCCAGTTCTAATAATATATTAAAACAGCTATCGTAAAATTGTGAGTAATACCTCATAACTTCACATAAACTTGATTTGGGAGCAGGCTTGCTAGTATTGCTTTTGCCCAGATGTCCTCCCAGCGCCCGCTTCCCTCACCTCTGCGTGCAGTTCTGAGGCAGGGGTAAAGGACCCACTGCAGGCAATTTATGGTATTGCTTACATAAAGCTGATTTCTTCATAATACAAGGGAGTAAAAGAAGTTGTTCTGCAGGGGCTATATTGCTCATTCTTACTGTTTGCTAAAATTAAAACTAGATTAGGTAAAATGTTAGAAATTCTAGTGAAGTGAAAATTCCTACACTCTCACAGATGAGAGCTAAGGTGTTTAAACGCATCAGCAAGGCACTTCTAGTGAGGGCAGTTGTGTAGCAATGGTTGCATCCTTTCTCTCGTGTCTTTTGTACAATGATGTCCTCTCAGGCAAAAAAAAAAAAAGTATAAAGGTGCATTTTATCAGCAGTATCACAACTAAAGACGAGAGGCTTCTGCTGGTGCGGAAAGGTCGTGCAGATCAAGAGAGTGAGGCTGGAAATGCTCCGCAGCGGGAGAGGGGTCATCGGGGAATACGGCACCTGGCAACACTGTGGGTCACGCTGTTGTCCACAAGCGGTGTGTTCAGAAGCAAAAAGTGTTTCACTGAGTCGTACGTGGTCAGATCTGTAGAGAGGATAAGGAGAAAAAAACCAGCATTGCCAGAAGTAAGTGGTATCTGTGCTGTTTGTTACTGACACAGGATGGAGGTTTGGCAAGACTCAGTTCCCAGTGCAGGTCCTCCCATTGGCAGAACTAGCACTCTGCCCCAGTTTCTGGTGACGGTTGTGGCACCTAGGTCCTGTCGTTAGACATATGAGTGCGTGCTCCCTTCCACTACCGTCTCCTTGGATTTACCCTACAAATGATAAAATTGATCCCAAATGGAAAACTATGCAAAATAACTCATGAACCAAACCCAGAAAGGTCAGAAGAAGGACAGATATACCCCTCCCACCTCTGTGAAAGCCTTATAAAAATACTAGAAACATTAGACAAAAAAAGTAGATGGAAGTCATATCATGTTCTTCTGAAGGCAGACAGGAGTTACGGCATCTGGACGTGTGAATGAAAGATAGCGATCGGAAAGTTAACAGCAGATCTGGGCTACATTTCCAGTGTCTTGACCTTAAAACTTTGGAGCCCAGCCTACTAACCAGGATGACCCTCCCAGCACTTTGTAGTCCTTCACAGCCCAAACATACCCAGTGGAGATGTTTTCCCACTTGTAAAAGAGTTTGCTTGTTTAAGTTTACGTCGAGACTGCACGTTAACGCTGTGTCTGGAGATACCTACCTTAGTTAACAGTCATTCTATAGCCCTCATTTAACAGCTCCTGCTGCAAACATTGTCCATCCAGTGATGCCTTTACTGCTGCTTAGCAAGGTGTAAGCTTACGCCACCTCTGATTTTCTATCTTGAAATATATTTTTTGGTCATGCTACTAACATATCCCTGTGCTGAATGATGTAGAAATGCGTAGCTGTCATGCCAAAGAAATTGAAGCATGCAAAAGAAAAAATTGCCAAGGCAATGCTATAGTATGTGCCACCAAGCACAGAGCAAGTGTTTATGGTGGGCACCCACAGGTGGTGTCTTTCGGTCCCAAAGACGTCTCCCTCCTTGCTTTATGAACAGAACCACAGGAAGGAGAGCAAAGACCATCCAACATATGCTAGCAGTTTTGAAGAGACACAGGAAAACTCT